GTTCTCCACTGGGGCAGCAGCATCTTGCCATAATGTTGCAACCCAGATGGGTTTACCTCTGTGCTGTTAGTTGCTGTCCTTCCATTGCTGCAACCACCCCCACTTAGCATCTGCCACCATCCATGAGTCAGTACAGAGATATCTGAAGCCAGCTGGATGGCTTTCACCTCTGCAAACTGACTCAATTCCTCTTCTCCTTTAGCTATTTCTGACTTGTCATGTAGGACTCCATACAGTAGCCTTTCACCTCTGATGCTTTCCCACAAGATGGCAGGACCCATCAGTGAACAGGACATTCATTGCTTCTCCTTTTGTGGCAGTTTATTGTACAGTGGGGCCCCTTCAGCACAACCCACCTCCTCCTCTGTCAATATTCCGAAATCTTTGCCTTCTGGCCAGTCCATGATCATTTCCAAGATTCCTGGGTGACTGGGGTTTCCTGTTTGAGCCTGTTGTGTAATCAGTGCAACCCTCTTACTCCACGTAGCATCAGTTGCATGATGTGTACAGGGGACCCTCCCTTTAAACATCCAGCCCAGCACCATCAGTCGGGGTGCCAGGAGGAGCTGTGCTTCAGTACCAATCACTTCTGAAGCAGCTTGAACCCCTTCATATGCTGCCAATATCTCTTTTTCAGCTGGACTACAGTGGGCCTTGGATCCCCTGTATCCCTGACTCCAAAATCCTAGGGGCTGACCTCAAATCCTCCCTGGTGCTTTCTGCCACTGCCAGAGGCTCCAGGTAGGCCCATTCTCCCAAGCTGCAGTGTAGACCACATTTTTCATATCTTGCCCTGCCTGGACTGGCCCAAGGGCTACTACATGCGCTGTCTCCTGTTTATTTTGTCCAAAGGCTTGACATTGCTTAGGGCCCCATTTGAAATCATTCTTCTTCCAGGTCACTTGATCAAGAGGGCTTACAATCTGGCTGTAATTTGGAATACGCATTCTCCAAAAATCCACAATGCCTAAGAAAGCTTGTGTTTCCTTTCTGCTGGTTGGTGGAGACATAGCTGTTAATTTTGTTGATCGCATCCATTGGGATCTGACAAGGTCCATCTTGCCATTTTATTCCTAAAAGCTGGATCTGCTGTGCAGGTCCCTTGACCTTACTTTGTTTTATGGAAAAAACGGCCTTCTTCCCTTTCTCAAAAACTTCTGCTGTGTTGTCCCAAACGATGATGTCATCAATATATTTCAGATGTTCTGGAGCCTCATCCTGTTCCAGCGCAGTTGGGATCAGTCCATGGCAAAGGGTAGGGCTGTGTTTCCACTCCTGGGGCAGTCGATTCCAGGTGTACTGGGTGCCCCTCCAAGTGAGAACAAACTGTGGCCTGCACTCTGCTGCCAAAGGGATTGAGAAAAACACATCAGTGATGTCAATTGTGGCTGTCTTTGACTCTGGTTCGTATTGAAGTTCTAGCACATCCAGCACGGCAGCACTCAGTGGTGGCGTGACTTCATTCAGGCCACGATAGTCTACTGTCAGTCTCCACTCTCCATGAGGCTTTTGCACCAGCCATATGGGACTGTTAAAGTGTGAGCGAGTCTTGCTGATCACTCCTTGGCTCTCCAGTCAATGAATCAGCTTATGGATGGGGATCAGGGAGTCTCAGCTGGTGCGATATTGCCAACGGTGCGCAGTTGTGGTGGCAATTGGTACCTGTTGTTCTTCGACCCTCAGCGACCCTAGGACAGAAGGGTCCTTGGACAGACCAGGCAAGGTAGACAGCTGTTTAATTTCCACCATCTCCAAGGCAGCTATACCAAAAGCCCACTGGTACCCTTTTGGGTCCTTGAAATACCCCCTCCTGAGATAGCCTATGCCAAGGATACATGGAGCATCTGGGCCAGTCACAATGGGGTGCTTTTGCCACTCATTCCCGGTTAGGCTCACTTCGGGCTCCACTACAGTCAGCTGTTGGGATCCCCCTGTCACTCCAGAAATGCAGATGGATTCTGCCCCTATATAGCTTGATGGCATTAGGGTACACTGTGCACCGGTGTCCACTAGAGCTTTATACTCCTGTGAGTCTGATGTGCCAGGCCATCAGATCCACAGAGTCTGGTAAACCTGGTTGTCCCTTTCCTCCACCTGGCTGGAGGCAGGGCCCCTCTAGTCCTGGTCATAGTATTTGTTAGTCACTTCTTGTAGATATGAGTCAGGAGTCCCTTTATTAAGATCACGAGTAAGATCAGCCCTTCTACTCTGTCTGGGGAACTGCTCACTGGAAACTGGAGCAGCAAGTTTCCTGGAAGAACCCACTTTTGTGATTGTTTTTCCGTGCAACTCATGTACTTGTGCTTCTAGGGTCGAGGTAGATTTTCCATCCCACTTTCTCGTGTCCTCTCCATGGTCACGTAGGTAAAAACAAAGGGTAGCCCATAGTGTATACTCACTGTATCCTCTCTCTTGAGCAGAGGAACACTTAATCCTAATGGCTAAGATACTGGTCCGTACAGGTGGGGAGTAGATCCTGTCCTCTTTGAGTTGTTGGAACCCCCAGGACAGTTTTTTTGCAGAGTTTCTCCACAGCCGAGACACGGGCCCATAGGGAGGAAGAGGGACTTTCTTCACATTGCTGGAATTGGCCAGCCAATTCATGCACCATTTGTCCCTCTCCATCTTTCCAGGTCATTACCGCCAATGAGTTGACATATGATGATCGTGCGCTCCATACAAATTTCTGCCACATGTGTCACATGCACTTGACTTCATCTGGATCTTTGGATAACTGCTTGTTGTCCGGGTCATCATAATTCACCTCCAGCATGGCTAATTCCCTCAGGTACTGGATACCTCTCTCCATGGTGGCCCACTTGTCTGGGTGACAGATAATATCTTCCCTGAAGGGATATCTTTCCTTCATGCCTGACAGGAGTTGTCTCCAGAGGCTGAGGGTTAGTGCCCCTTTTCCAATAACTTTGTCAATGCCCCCTTCCCTAGAAAGGGATCCCAGCTGCTTGGCTTCCCTACCCTCCAAATCCAGGCTATTGGCCCCATTATCCCAGGATCGGAGCAGCAGGGTGACAATGTGCTTGTGTGGATGATGGCTGAAATCCTTTTGCATATCTTGCAGCTCAGTCAGGCATAGAGATCAGGTGGCTACTGTCTTGTTTATGAGTTCTTCCTCCAAGGAAGAGGAGGAAGCCTCCTGCAGAGTTCTTCTTCAGGGCTAAGCAGGGAATTATTCTTCCTCCCCCTGTTTTGTGATAGCCCTGCTTTAGAGTAATCTGCCTCCTCGCTGGCAGGGCAGTATGCTTCTTCCTCCTTCTCCCTCTTAGGAGAAGCTTCTTCACCCCTTATTAAACGAGGTCACTTTCACTTCCAAGATTTCTGCTTGTGTATGGGGGTGACTGATACTGACAGGGGTTGGTTCTCTGGTTCAGCTGCAGTGCCTTTCACTGGGGTTGGAGCAGATGCAGTATTCTTAAATAGTCGTTCAACCCTAAGCAAGACCTGACACACATTCAGGAGACACAGCAACAGGAACATGCTAATCTGAACATCCCAAGGATATTCAAGATTCAAGAGCTATTTTAATTAGCCTGGAGGAGAAAATGGAGGAAGGTGTCTCCCCCAGGGACTGGCTCTCTGAGGAGAAAAAGTAAAAAGTGTAATCATTAATAATTTCTGATAGATGGCTCCCAAAGTACAGAGGTGATGGCAATGCTGAGTACAAATACCTGACTGATCTCATGACTAATAATTTTATTATACCATAAACCAGTGTTACACAGTACAGCAAAGCAATAACCTTAATCCACCTCCCGGAGGTGACAAACAGCACATGAATACTAATAAACAGTATATACGGCAAGTGAGGTGTTACATAACACGACTCTGAGAACAATCACAACAACTTTGAGAGCAAATGAATCAACACTGTCACCAGCAACTACTAAACTAACATAATGAATGCTTATCACAAATTTGTTTTAACATGCTCTGGTCAGATCTGCTGTTATCTCAACCCTTCATGCCCCACACGGGGCACCAAAAAGGACTGTTGTGGTTTAACCCCAGTAAGGCAACTAAGCACCACACAGCCACTTGCTCAGCCTCCCCCCTGCCCCCTGCCCTGTGGTGGGATGGGAGAGAGAATAGGGAAAAAAAGGTAAAACCCATGGGTTGAGATAAAGACAGTTCAATAGGACAGCAGAGGAAGAGAAAATTATGATTACGATAATAATAATAAAAGAATATATGAAACAAGTGATGCACAATGCAATTGCTCACCACCTGCTGACAATGCCCAGCCTGTCCTGAGCAGCGGTCGCTGCCCTCTGGCCAACTCCCCCCAGTTTACATACTGGCATGATGTCATATGGCCAGTTGGGGTCAGCTGTCCTGGCTGTGCCCCCTCCCAGCTCCTTGTGCCCCTGGCAGAGGAGGGGAAGCTGAAAAGTCCTTGACTGGTGTAAGCCCTGCTCAGCAACAACTAAACCATCCGTGCCTTATCAACATTCTTCCAGTACTAAATTGAAAACACAGCACTATGCCAGCTACTAGGAATAAACTTAGCTGACACCAGGACAATACCCTTCCCTTAAAATCTTGTTCCACTGCTGATTTAATTAAAAGTAATCTGTCTCTTGCTGTAGTACATCTGGTATTACTTGAAAGTGAAGCCTGGAGCTGAGGAAAGATTGCAAGAATGGGTCTGTGGTGGGAACAGGGGTGGCAGCAACTTCCTCAGAATAAGGGGTTGCATAGTGAGTAATCAACTTCTGCTTGCTGCATCTGTGGCTCAAACTGAAGCTGCCTGATTTGCGTCCAGGTTATTCCAGTTACTGACGGGCTTTCAACTTGCCTTTACTTAGTCCAGGAGCTTGGAAGCCACTTAATCCTTGTTAATTCAATTAGCATGTAGGTAGACACATAATTTAAGCCCTGATCCCTCTGCAGCATGCCAGTCTTTTGAATCATGTTTGGATTTAGCTGACAGCATCTCATGCTAGTTGCCGTATTGTATGAGGTTCCTTTCGGTTGAGGTTTCAACCCCACGCAAAGCTGGGGTAACAAGGTGACTATTACCTGGCATCAGTGTCCCTACACCTCCATAAATCCTGTAGGAGCAGTGTGCTGCACTTTCCTGTTCTTAACCTGTTACAGGAGTAGTACATCCTGGTGGCGTGAAATGCTGGTATCGGCTTTTGAGTCATAGGTGTCCTCCCATGACCTCTGTTAAAACACTGCCTGGGGACATTGAGACAATATCCCAGAAGTCAGGGGCATGAACATCTGTTCAGGAGTGGTTTATTGTAGGGATTATTAAAAGTGTCTTAATCTTACGTTGTTGATTTTTTGGTTTTTTTTACGGTGGTACACCTGTATTTAGTGGTCTTCTTCATAACATTGATCATCTGGGCTGACACATCTTCTGTACCACTTGGAGAGCAGGTGTGTCCTGCTGACGACTGCATGCACACAGCCTGTTTCTGAATGAACAGAGAAGAAGGAAGTAATGGAAAACTGATCCTCTGCTTTCTCCTTCCACATTGAATGATGTGCCTAGGGGTCCCGTTTTCATTTCTGCAGTGTTCTTGTCCCTCTGCGCTATTGCTAATCAGCCTAGCAGGAAAGCGGGATGCTGTGAAGACTGCTGGTGTGCAATAGCCAATGCATGTACTCTGTACGATGATGTACTGCAGAAATAACAAGGCAAACTTCTTCATCCTGGGTGAGCACAGTGGCTGAGAGGCCATGGCATGCTGTGAAATAGAAACACAAATGAGATGCTTCCTGTAATGTGGATAACTGTGGGGAGTAATGCTTGGCAAACCTTCCGCTTTGGTAGCTCAGAGAATTGATAAAGACCAAAGGATGCTTTAGCTGGTACAGCCTCTGTCACTCAGTCAGGATCTGAAGGGAGCCAGTGGTTGAACGCTGTTTGATGGCCACGATGCTGTAAAGAGCAATAAAAATGCAGGTTACAAAAGAGCTAGCAAACTACCTTCTCAAACTACAGTTTGCTTTTCCCCCATCAATTCTTTAGCTTAAACTTTACTAGCGTGTCTGGAGCTGGCTAAGTGCTCATGCGCTTCCTCTTGAGGATCTGCCAGCCTCTCTGTCAGTTACTTTTGTGTACAAGCAATGGCATGGGCAACATTTGGCATCTTTCAGACTTTTAAGTCCTAATAACCCGTGTTTGTTCTGATAATAGTGCTAACTTCTATTTAGAGCGTGTATTAAAAAGCAGTTGAGTAGCTTGTTGTGACTTGCTGTTCAACAGCAGGGTTGTGCACAAGAAACGAGTCACTGTTGTGTCTGGAAAATATGAGGACGAAAGCAGAGCCAGGGGAACGATGAGTGTGAAGTAGCCTTCCTCACACTCACAGTTCTGCTGACACCAGGTTTCAAATGTGTTCACAAGCCCAGAAAGCCTTTGCTGCTCTGGACGAGGCAGAGCTGATGGTCTAGGAGCTTTCCTTAGTGATGCTTTTTCTTTTCTTCCAATCTAAGTGATAGCAGTGATAGCACTGAAGTCAGTATACATAGTACTTCTAGACTTTCTGCTATTATTTTCTTAAAAAATCACAGCAAAGCTTGGCAAAAATTTGGCCTGGGGTAGGACATTAACCTATCCAGTACCTGCCTTATATCTGAATGAAAATATTGTTGTGCATGGATTAAATACTGAGATTATCGCAGTTAACTTGCACTTCACACTGGAAGACTCTTGCTGTTTCTAGCAATGCAAGGAGCTGGAGGGTCTCAGGGAGGGAATGACAGGCAACGTGACATTTGGAGAGATCCTTCAAAAATTCTGGAAGAGTGGTAGATGGAGATGCTGTTTCAGCTTTTTCTCTTCAAATTAAGCTGGTTTTGTGCTTAAAACTTGTTATTGAAATTGTACCTCTCAGTTGCTCTGTAGCTTTACATTTGGGCAAATTCACTGGATCAGAAAAGTAATAATTTCCTTCACTAGTAATGGCTTCTCTTTGAAAGGAACACCTGGGGGAGACTCAGATTATTCTTTCTATTACAACAAGTAAGTAACCTGTAATGGATTTTTAAAAAAATGTTTTACTCTGTGTAGGGTTATTCCCTCATTCTACTTACTACTATTTTCGCAATATCAAGCACTACATTTGTGCGAAGGCTTTGTCCCCTGGGATTATCAGCTCTTAAAGTCTGCCAAATATTCCTCCTACAGCAATTCATGTTACATTAAACAAAAAGAAGATTAAAAACATTGGCTAGATCACTTCCATGTTTCATTCTTTGAACCTCCTTGATATTCGTCAACTCATTTCTGAAAGATTTTTGTTTTTCTTCTTCCCATTTTTTTTTCTTTTTAAATTCAACAGAGTTTTTATTTTTCCTATCTGTGTTATACACTTCAGACTATAATCAGGAAGCATGGAGAAAATACAGAATGTTGTTTTGGACAAACCACTTCCTATTCCTTACCTTAAAGGGAGGAAACTCAGGCAGCCAACTAGAAAAGACAAAATGAAACAGAAGCTGCTGTACCAGTTCAGTGTGTTTTGATAGATCTTGTTGTAGGCTGTAGATGTCACTACTCCTGTGGTGACTAAAGACAACTGCAGCAGGACAAACACCTTACCTGTAAAACAAGAGCGCAGGTTGTTAGAAGGGAATAAAAAAACCAGTTCTGATACCTCCCTGCTTAATCCAGGATCACTACCACATGGAAGGGCAATGTGGTCATTGCTTCACCAGCACCAGATGGCATGAGCTTGTACCTGCTGCTGTTCTGAACCAGAATTAAATGACTTTTCCTTCTTTTAGGCACATGACAAAAGATCCAGCTAGAAAACTGCTTGCTTAAACAGTCCAGATGTAGAGGTAGCTGCTCAGAAGAGCAGCAATAAAGTGGGCAGTAAGTGCTCCTTTCCCTAGGAGGTAGAAAAGTAGTTTGGGCTAACATCTTCAGGACAGGAGACATTTTAGCCAGGGTCTGCTTCCTCCCTAGGCCAGAAGAGTGGTCTACTGGGCTAAAATTATAACAACACCTGAAATGGGGAGATGTGTGTGATTTGTATGATGTCTAGGATGGAGGAAGGGCAGAAACTGGATTGTAGCTGAAAGAGTTTTTTTTGCTGAAGTGCACCCTGCTCTTCCTGCCATGGTAAAGGGGGGAAGGGGAAGTAACCCAGCCCTGCCAGGATGCGAGGTCAGGGCTGTGCGCTAAGCTGGCTGCCCTGTTAGCCTTCTCCAGCCCCACAGCACCAGTGGCCACCATCTGAGGAGACAACAGTGCTATCGGGAGGCAAGGGCTGCTCTGCTGCACGGTCCTCCTCGAGAGCTGTTCTGCTGCCGTAACCAGGTGCGGCCTGTGTGGCTCATGATGGGGGTTCAAAACAGCATTATGATTTATAATAATAATTAACGTGGGGCGTGAGCAGCACTATTTGTGGCAGGTAGGTGAGTTTGCTATGGAGCGCGATGACGAGCACAAGCAGTAGGGATGAACTGATGACAGAGCAGTGACGTGTTCATATGGCAGAAGGGAAAAGCATGCAAAGGATGGCTGTGGGAACATGTTTGGAGGAGGCACGAGCAGCCATGGGCCCAAGGTGCTATTTGAATGCATGGCCAGTCCTGCCTGTTGTGTTGAAATCCAGCTCATTGGGGTAGAAATGGTAGCCTTCAATACGGTGCTGTAAAATACACATATTTTACTATTTTCTAATACATTTTTAATAGAGAAGAATTTCTGCTCCTGTTTACCAAAAAGGGCCAATTTTTATGCTAAGGATATCCTTTGTTAGTTAAATCATGGTCCAACAGGAACAAATTGCCAGGTGACACTTGGAGACATATTTAGAAAGCATAACTGAAAAAAGATGCAAGAAGTCCATCCTTCCCAAAACTGGAAGTAAAAGAAGCCAAATACAAATGGTGTGACTATCACAGTGCTTCAACCCAACGTCTTGCTTCTCTTGGTTTTCCCTGGAGGACTGTGTTTTTGGGCAGCACCTCAGATATTTTCCCTGCCTTTGAGCTGCACACTGATAGTAATCTCTGGAAGCATGTGCTGAAAATTTTGTGGATAAATGATGACACAACCGAGGATGAGAAGTCTGGATGTGACAATCTTGTCCTGCAAGTTTCCCTGCTCCTCCCTTCCCATTTGTGCTACCAACTGTTCTGGTTTTATTACGCAAAGCACAGATTGCAGCAGTAACTTACTTTTCTCTTCATACCTTAGGCTGAAGGGAGGGATTTGAGGGCTTTTTGACCAGTAAGGTAACCAAAGTACTTACCATAGGATGATCCTTCGACATGCTTGGATAACATGGACCTGATGGTTGGCAAGGGGATGAGGGCAAAGAGCATCACTGCCCGTGCTGCAATGCAAGGAATATGTAGTTATCATCAGTCCCTGCTCCTTATCTCCCAACACAACAACTACTGCCTTTGAAGACTATGTGCTTCTGGCTTGGGCAGGGCCCTTGCTTCACTTTTTCTTGTCCCTTGAGTACCCGGAAGAAGCACAAATCTTTGGTAGCGGTGTAGGTCTTTACTTCATCCAGGCGATGGTGGATAAGACACCTATTGCTCCCACTAGCACAAGTACTTTGCCCAAACCAGCTGTGGTCCCTTGGTTTCAGCCTGAAATCCCAGCATAGATGGAATATGGTCCTTTGAGACAGTGAGGCCGATGATTTGAGTAGAGCGAGCACCCCATGCTACACAGCCTTGACAGGAACGGTACTTTTATAACACTATAGCTGTTTCCTCATGGCATTTTAGGCTTTCTCTATTGCAGAAATGTTTAGGGAGCTGGGATTATCTTCCTGTTAGTGTTGTAGAAGTCACCTTCTAGCTCAAACAGAATCCAGTCCATAGTATCAGTAGCAAGGCTTGCTAAAGCCGCCAGCTGTGAACTTTCACCCAGATAGTCTGCCCGTGTCCTGAACTTTTCCTTAGCTGCATGAAGGGAGGCCCCTGAAAGCGGTGCAAACCTGGAAGATAAGGCAGCCACAACCACCAGCAGAAGCTGCATCCATTAAGATAAGAAAAGAAACATCCTGCCATGAGACAAAGGAAGGGTCCAATGGGGAACAAGAAGACCTCAGACCCCAAATATTGCTGTTGGACCCAACTGTTGCATGAGGGGAACTTAAATTGTAAGGGTATAGTTGCCCAGGGATTTATTTGTTTGGGGTCCCTCTCCAGATCCACTCAGCTTGAGCTGTTGTTTAGCGCTGTACTCCTCAACAAATTCAACTGGCGGATGTTGTGTGTCAGAGACTGCTTCAGGGGAACCTAGGGTTGAGCCGGAGGGGAGAGGAAGTGCCCGAGAGTGAGCTGCCAGCTGCGAAGGGACGCCGGTCCTAGCAGGTAAAGCCTCGGGCAGTGTGTGTGTGCACCCTGAGCGGTGTGTGTGCGCACCCCGATTGGTGTGTGAACGCTTGAGCAGTGGCTGCTCCTTTACCATTAGCAGAACCAACCTCAGCGAATGTGTTGGCCGTGCCCAGTGGTACCAAGGCGCTCTGCAAAGTGGGGAACAAGCATCCTGCACACTGCGTAGCAGCATGCATTCGTGATGGACTTAATAGTAAACAAGCATTTTTAAATTTTAATTTCTATATTTTGTTTCCCAGCCTGATTGCCTAAACAAAGGAAACATCTCAAAAATTTCACTTGGTGTATGGCTTAGTACACAAATATAATGTCCTACCATCTTTCCCTTTAGAGTAACTTTGTTTGATTTTCAATTTCTCATTCCCTGCAGGGACAGACAGAAAAATCACTTCAGGCCATTTCTCTTAGATTTCTTTTCTCACTTTCTGAAGCAAAACCTCAAAGCCATGCAACACACGATACTCTGTCAGATATGAATCATCTGTCTCACTGCCACACACGGATGCTGTTCTTGGGTTTTTTCCCTGTGTTCTGCAGAGGCTACCTCCTAACCATAACCTGGCCTTTCCATCATGGGATGCTGCCCCATCTATTCTTACCTGCCTCTTGGTCATTTGTACCTAGTGTAAGACTTATACGCTACATTCTCATAATATTCTAGTTGCTAAAGCAGCTCCAGTGTTTCACTATTAAGTTCCCCATCAGCCATAAATGCCTTAATTTAAAAAAAATAAATCACATCTTAAGATGTTCACTTAATAGGGAACATTTGCCAGTTTGTTTCTGTTGTAGCCTTTAGCCTTACCTCACCAGAAGCCAGTGCTTCTCATTAATGCAACGGTGTGGTCTGACTAGCATAGGTAGCCAACAACAATTCCCACTCCCCCGCCACGTCAGCATTGTTCCCCTGCTCAGATCTGGGCTATGACCAACTGACAAGTCAACTGGCCTCAAACTAAGCCTTGGCAGGAGCATATGCCTCCTCTGGTTATTGTAGGGTTCTGAGTGTAAAGGGTACAAAGTGAGATGTGGGGAGAGGGGGATGGTAATGAAGCCCTTTTGGGAATTGCTCGTGTGATGGTTTGCTGAGCTCCCTGCTTTGAAACTTGCAGCAAAGCAGAGCAAAAGACCTTCTCTTGATGCCAAAACACCCCAGCCTCTTTCTAAGGGTGCACTTGCTCACGTGAGCGTCTGGTTGACTCACCGATGTAGAACAGGAACGTCCACCGCACGAAAGCCATGATGAGGATGCCAGCACTGAAGGATGCCACTCCAATCATGATCATGGTAATGTCCCTCAAGTATCTGGAGAACACAAATACCCCTAGGAAGCTGGTGATGAAGATTACGTACCCAGCAGCATTGCCATGGCCGATTTCCACGGCGTTCCAACTTAAAGGCTCCCTGAGCAAGAAGAGCGGCAGTACGTTCATTGCACCAACCACAGCAAGGTCATAGAGGATTGCTGCCACAAACAGCATGATGATGATGAGCTTTGAGGGGGATACTGGAGTGGAGCTGCTGCTCTCTGAAGGTTGGGAATTCCCTCCTGCTGCTGCTTCTTTGTGGGCTGGTAGCTGGCTGCCCACCTCCTCTGTGCTCTTGGCTTTGGCTGGGCAGGAAGCTGCTGGCTTGGGGACTGTCAGGACAAAAATGCTGTAGAGGAGGCAGAAAGCATAGCAAGCGATGCTGCAGCTCACCAGCACAGTGCCCTCTCGATAGCGGTCACTGAATCCAACAAAGAGGTAGCCAGATGCCATGCTTCCCAGAAAGCCAGCGAGGCCATACACCAGCTCGATAACGATAAGCCGCAGAGACCTCCTGCTTTCAGAGGAGCCCAGGGATCCCAGAGCCATGATGCCTGCCCAGAGCGTGGTGAAACCACCTGTCAGCCCGTTGAAGGCAGCAGCCCCATACATCACCTCAATTGGCCAGCCCAAAAGGATCAGGAGGAGCAGGAGAGTTTTGGAGCCCAAGTAGCCAAGAAGAGGGAAGCAGATGGGGATCTTCCGATGCATCCTGTCCCCCAGCTTGGACAAGCCATAGGCTGACACCAGTGGGCTCAGGCCCAGGACTAGGTTGTAGATGATGTAAAAATTAGAGACAGCCTTCTGCTGAGCATCTTCCAGTGCGTGGGAGGGAGCGGTGGCATTGGTCTGGTTGTAGTAGTTCTTCACCACCAGCAGCAGTGCCGTGTCGTAGAAGGCGCTGGCCACTTGGGAACCAGCGACCACCGGCTCAATCCACATCCTCATTGCCGTCATCCCCACCATGCTGCCAGCAACTGCCTCTTCTTGGCGGGGGGAGAGCTATTTTCAGGGAGATGCACGGGAGGAAGCGGATCTTCAGAAGCTCTGCTCTGGAGGAATGCTTGGAGAGGAGCAGTGGAGGCAGAAACAAAAGGTCTGCTGGGCTGCACAGAGTCAGAGAGTTGTGCAAGAGACGATCTGGCTGGGAGGATATTTGCACCTCGCCTTGCTACGTATGTGCATGCACACACATCCCTGCGCTGCTCTGATCTCCAGCTCACGCACGAGTGGCTTTTGTACAGCTGGAGAACGCCCTGCGCTCGCTGACTGCCGCTGCCTCTCTTCCTGGTGGAGTTTCAACAGAGGTCAGATGACCTAGGGGAATTTCTCTCTCTCAGTTTAAGAAGTGAAAATGCCCCTATCAAGTAACTGCTGCAGTTTGGGGGGTGGTTTGTTTTTTGTTTGGTTTGTTGTGTTTTGGATTTTTTTTTTCCCCTTTTGGCATCCTTCGTTGTGTCAAAGGACTCTCAGGGTGGCTGTGGGGGGCAGGGGATGGCCGTGTGCTTTTTTGTCAGGTAATTTGTGAATTCCCCTTACCGCCAGCTCTTTTACCTTTCTTCTACACAAATATGTTGTTGGCTCTTTTGCTCTTACCTGCTCCCATCTGCCCTGTTGCTGTACTGTGCCCCTTATGTCATTGTTGTTTCAATAATGCAGTCAGGAAATTACACTAAAAAGAAAACAAAAGGGGAAAAGCCTGGTTTCAGTATCCTGCCTCCCATGGCTGCCACTTTGCCTGCTGCATCCTGTGGCTTTACAACGTGGGCTTTTCCAAGAGGAGGAGAGAAGTCCCAATTTATCCGAAGGCATTGGCAACTGCTGCTCCCCAGCAATCAGCCAGCTGAACTGGAGGCCGGGGTGGGTGAGAGCCCACCTCCAGGGCAGCGTTTTCCAGCCCCAGCTCCCCGGGGGCGGCGCCTGTACTGCTCTGCAGGCACTGATGCCACACGTGGCTTTGCTGCTTGAAGTCAGCCTCCCATTTGGCTGCTTCTCGAGGGTGCCAAGTGAAGCGACCCTTTCCAAGCAGCCCGGGGTCCCTGTGGCCACGAAGTGGGGCTGACCAGAGGCACAGAGGGCTCCCAGAGCAGGATATGGTGCAAGCAGGCTGCCGGCTCCAAGGAAGATGCTTGCAATCCCAGCTGCAGGAAATACTTGGAGGATATTTGGCAGCCTCAAAAATGCTAACTTAAATGATAATGATCTCATTCTGCACTGGTTTAATGAATCATAACCGGCAAAATAACAGTCTGTTCTAGGAAGATTTATGATGATTGCTTTAAAAAATAAATTAATGATTAATTGGCAAGAACAATGTTAAAACCTCCATCTGTCGCACTCTCTATTGATTCAGGAGACATTTGCTCAATGCCTGTGTACTCAAGGCTCAAGTTTCATTTTTTCACTCTTAGTTTGATTGTGCAACAATTTTTGGTTTATGTTGCTATTCAAGGAAAAAAAGTCCCAGAAACTAACAGAGAAAGGAGTCGGGAATTGTCTGCTAAAATAATTTGCTGCTAAGCAATTTCAGTTTCACTAGAGAACTTGTTTTTTTGTCAGGCCAAAAGACTCCTAGTCAGCTGTAAAATATAATTTGGGTTGTTCCAATGGTTGGCTTTTTTCTTTTCCAGGTTTTCTGCAAAAGGAGTCTAGTTTCCTTAGTTTTTACTCAGAAGTGGGACAAATGTTTTTCTCCAAGCCCTGGAATATTTCCAGAGGATGAAAATTCCAGACAGCCTTACTGAAAACCCCAAAGCATGAGCTTGTGACCAGTTTAAGCAACAAATGCAGCCAGAGGAATTGTCACTTCTCACTTCACCTGGAGAGCCCTGTCTCTTCCACCAGACATTAGAGGGAAAGATAAAACGACTTCGTCCCATTCAGGCTTCAAGCTGGGATGTTGGTTATCTTGGAATGCAGAGGTATGTTACAGGCACTGCGCTTGAGAGACTGCAGATCTGCCCAACTCTTGAATAAGGGATATTTTTCCTGCCCACTTTGTTGCATGTACAGGCTGCCTGGCATATTCTTCTGACACTCTCGACATTTAGGTGATACTGCATTATGCTTAATGCTCTTCAGGCCTAGATAGCTAATGAACTGTGCTAAATGCCATTAGTGATCTCATGAACTACATATATATTTCCAGGATATTCTGAGTGTTCACTCACATTAAATGTGCTTTTTAGAACTAGGTCTCATGGAAGGATGTAATTTCACATCAGTAATTGCAAAACAGTGAGTGCTGAAGTAAGAGCTTAACCCAGGCTCCCACTGCAAAATACTTTTCATGAATACCATATTCATTTGATGCCACAAAGACTTCAAAATTACTATTCTCTAGCATCAGCTTTTTCATGGGGCCTAGTTCTCTTGTCGCTAATATTTATAGGGACATTTGCATCCACTTTAAAATACGTTCATGCAGCATAAACACAGCAGAGCCTAAAGACCCTTAAGAGAGTGGCTCTTGACATCTAAGAAAAATGCAGCTACAGAATCACTGAGACTAGTCTAAAAGCAAAAAATACACTAGTGTAGCCTGCTGCAAAAGGAAGACATTGTTTTAGGGCATCCCTCTTATGAGTTGTCTTGTCTGGAGACCCTGTGTCTCCCTATGCAGTGTTGTTTTTTCTTTTTTTTTAACCATTTATGACAGTTACATCACTTTTTCTTTCTGACCAGGGTTGCTGTAGGGATCTCAGTATGTTGGGGCAGCTAGGCTTGGCAGGTACCAGCATTCCGGAGCTTGGCATTCAGCACTCCTTGCCTGAAAGGGTCCTTTTGACATCCAGGACTGCAATCTCGTTTATTTCCCTCGCCTAAGCTTGCTGATGGGATCTGTGATGTATGGTCTCTGGCTGGTAAGACATTTCTCCTCCAAGTTGGTAAATTGGCTCTGTAACTCCTCCTCTTCCTCAGATCGTGCAGACCGTCCTGACACATGCTGCGGCTTCGTGGCGGTGGCAAGGCGGAGAAACACGACTGGTGAAGCACCTGTGTCCCAGCCGGGATGGAGCTGCAGTCATGCTACAGCACTGGAGAGAGGGAGAGCTGGTTGGAAATACAGGGGAGAAGCAGCTATTTCGGTGATGGCCCGTTTTCCTTCAGAAAACATGTCTTCATCATAAGTGACCATAGACTGTAAAGCCAAGCTTTGTCCCTTTGTGGCTTCCTCACTGGCTGGCGTTTAGTCACGTGTTGCCCCTGTCCTCGCAAGGCGCGTGGTTCCGCTGGCAGAGCAGGGGGAGGTGGAGGGGGAGCGGAGGCTGCACAGAAAGCCGGGTGCATGGGGCAGGGGGAGCGGCTCCTGGCAGCTGCTGCATTGCCACAGGGATATAGCATCCTGGTCCAGGGCAGTCGCTTTGTTGGATCCAGAGCTGCCAATGGTAGATGCTAATGCCTGAATGCACAAGGCCGCCCCAGCAGCCTTGTTTCAGTGGCTCTGGAAAATGACACCCAGGCCATTTGGAAATTCAGGATGCTGGTGCCAGTGTCTGTAGTGCAACAGCTGGTAAGTCCACCTTTGCCGTAATAAAATGCAGGACCATGCCCTTAAGGGTGCACCTTGAGGTGTCTCAGACACTAAGACCCCCGGGCCAGCAGTCTGGCATCCAGGAGGTGCAGCAACAGCAGACATGTTGAGATCACTTATGGGGACATCTGCTCTCCTCTGCTGCTCCTGGGAGGAGGAGGATGCTGAGGCCACCAGCAGTGCGAGTATGTGGTGCCTTGTTCTCCCATGCTTTGAGGCCTCACCCATTACCTCTCATGAGCAAAGCCCTGAGGCAGCATGCAGGCTGCAAAAAAAAAAAAAGCCAGAGAACAGATGTGCTGTGTGGAGAGACCTCATGGGGTGCGCTGACGTGAAGCACGGGGAGGAGGGGTGACCCCGTGTCAGGGTAGGGGAGGTCCACCAGCCTTCCCTTGGAAGAAGCTGGCACTCCCCACCGCTTTGAGAGTAACACAGGAGAACAGCGAGGAGCTGAACACAGCACCACTGTCCAGTTTCCTTTGGGACAGATGCTGGCTGACCAACCAGCAGCAGAAACTGGTGTTGTTTTGCTTTCACCCCCAGATGTCACGTTTTTGTCTGTTTTTCTCATTTTGGAGTTTCCTGCTTACCTGGTCTCCAGTGGGCTTCTCCCTCTGCTGGAAAGACAATACACAGCATCCTCGACACACGGTTTTTGCTGAATTGGCTTCTTTTCTTCTTTCACTTGACGAATTTAGGCGATTAATAGTGCTGACAGCTAACTGTATATGTTAACATTAATCCTCTCTATGGAAGCAGGAAAAAATGCTTCTTGCAGTACTTAGTGTCTGCCTGATCAGCTGGGCCACAGAACAAATCCTGCTGTAGTTCTTAGATAAGCCCCAGATAATCCTAGTGCTAAATTATTTTTTTGTGTGTGTGCACATCCTCCTTTTCATTAATATTCATGTCTTTTTAAAATTGTCATCAGCACCCATGTGTTTGGCACGGAAGCATTGCAAAGTTAAAGAGTGTGCAGGCAGCAATGGACTTGAGAAATGGGATGAAACAAACTATCCTAGAACTACAGCTTAAGCAACCCTATGTTGAATACAGCAAAAGTGGGCAGTCTGGAAAAATGAAATAACCATAGCAAAAACGTGTCTATTAAAAAATTTCACTACTGAATGAACTACAGTCAATAATCTGTAAAACCTCAGTTCAAAACCAAAAACTGCCCTCCCTTTCCCAAGCACTCTCCAAAGCTATTTAGAAATAATTCTAGTTACCTGCTTCACATTTTCATTTTTTATGCAGGTCTAGAAACATTTATGGCAATGGTGAATGGGTACCAAAAAGCCTACAAACACATTTATATAATAGTAAGTTTGAGGAAAGGCATTAAGGATGTAAAACCTCTGTAGATGAAGGAGTGTGTGAGTAAATTTGACTTGGGATTTATGAGATTGGAGAGGAATTGTGTATCAAGTGTGGACAAGAATTAGAGGAAGACTATAGACAGAGCATATTGGAAAGGTTCACGTGGCAGAATAAAGGAGGAAAAAGAAATAGTAAGACACCCATCCTTGTGGAGTGAGGTGGGGAGGGAAGAAAAGAAGAGCAAGGGAAAGAGGAGCGGTAATTTTTCTGGGCTGGGTAATTACCTACCTTTGCTAGGTAATTCAGCCCTAGCCAGGTGC